TTTTAATATTTTCAGTCTCTACAATTTTAAAAAGATTAAATAGCTTTTGTTTTTTAAGTCTCTATAATTTTTATTTTTTTAATAGTTTTAGTCTCTATAAAGAGTGAAAACATTAAAAAAAAGTTATAGGGACTAAAAATAAAACAAAATAAAACTTTGGGGGTTAAAGATTATGTTTTTCCCACTACAATTTCTTTGGACTTTCTCACTAACATTAGATTCCATTTGAAATAAAATGAGCACAAAGTAGTCATTATCTTTGACTGATATATCGGTTGCTTTATGACTAAGTCGTTTCAATTTGTAATAAACTAATAATAACATACATGCACGCATGCTGTTAGTTACATAACATACAATGAAGAATGAAGGAGACACTATTTTATGAATTACAGAACAATAACTATTAATTATAATTGGTTTAGATATGTTTAAAAAACTAAACCGGTTATTAAATATAACCTGTTTAGATGTGCCAAATTTTTTCCTTCAAAAATTATAATTTATATTTAGAATTAGTTACACATTATAACTGGTTTATATGTTATTTCATAATAATAATAAAATTTAATTAATATCTAAATCGGTTATAATGTGTAACCAATTTAGATATCATAATCTAAATTGGTTCCCTTGAGAGTTGGTTTAGAGATTACTTCAACCTTCCACTTATTTACAATAATGCTACTGCTTTCTTTTTCTAAATTATTTGCGCTTGACTTGGTTTAAATACGTGGGTTTAAAAAATATATTTTGCTATAGTGTGTTTGGTGCGTGCGCACACACACACACATGCAATTTAAAGCATATAATATAATGGAAAAACATAATTTTTTATATTTATAGTTTCATCTAGTTTTGTTTTTAGTTATTGTAGTTTTTTTTAATATTTTTAGTCTCTACAATTTTAAAAAGATTAAATAGCTTTTGTTTTTTAAGTCTCTATAATTTTTATTTTTTTAATAGTTTTAGTCTCTATAAAAAGTGAAAACATTAAAAAAAAAGTTACAGGGAATAAAAATAAAACAAAATAAAATTTTAGGGGTTAAAGATTATGTTTTTCCCACTATAATTTCTTTGGACTTTCGCACTAACATTAGATTCCATTTGAAATAAAATGAGCACAAAGTAGTCATTATCTTTGACCGAGTCGTTTTAATTTGTAATAAGCTAATAATAAAATACATGCACGCATGCTGTTAGTTTCTAATTAATGAATTGATAACGATATCTTCAATTCCCAAATGAAGCTTCCGTGAATTTCTGGATTAGAAATAGTGCTCGGTAAAGTTTGGAAATACTTAATTTGTGTGGTGTAAATCATTATCCTTAATCAAACCTCAAAGTCATCCAACTTTTTATACCACAAGAGGAGAATATTATTATATATTAAATCTTTTGTTTATCCCAGACATTAAAGAGTATACTTAATAATTCTTTCTTCATTGAACCTCCATTTAAGTTGTTCGTTTGTTGGATGAATTGAATATGAATAGAGTCACCTTTTCATTATGAATGCAAATATATGCGATCCGTTTTATTAATTAAGAGATATGAACCAACAACGCAACTTTCTGAATAAACTTCTGCGTACTTTCCTGCTTTATTGCCAATCTATACATGGTATCAAAATCTCATTTTGCTAGTCCCTTGCAGTTTATTTTTATGGAAGATTTAATGTTTTTATTTTAATCTAAAGTTTTTAAAGGTTGTTTGTTTACATTTTATTATATCCAAGTATAAGTAGATTTGAGTTGAAGTGAGAAAAATAATACCTTTAGAAAAATTCTTACCTAACTTGATCTACCATATCATCCATGGTTCACCCAACAAAATTTCACTAAAACAGTTAAATAAAATCTTATGTATAATTATTTTTACAATATAATGCCTATTTAATTTCTTGTCTTTCTCTCTATATTATTCATGTTAGAATTAATTTATATTTAATACCAACTAAATATCATATTTTTATTGGATGGATAATGAATGATATAGTGCATTGAGTCCATCCAAGAATTTCTCAATATGCTTATATGTTTAAAGGTGAAGAATAGATCCTAAGCTTGAAAATTTCACTAAAAGCAGATTAAAATAAATATTAGAACAGCCTTTAAATAAAAGAAAAATTATAAATAAAGTCCTCTGAATATGATCGCAAGTAATCAATTAGGAGTATGAAATTATAAAAATTAAATTTTAGGACCATCGTTCTTTTTTGTAGTTTTAAAAACAATACTTTGACTAAAGCGTCCCTGTTTGAAATGCCAACTTTAAATTCGTTCATGCTGAAATCAATTATATTTGAAAATTTAGTTGAAGGGAGTTATAAAATCACTTTATTCAAGTTGAAAACATTCTTACTTCTAGATTTACAATTGGCTGAATTAACATTTGCTCGTGTTGAAATTACTTTAATCAGGTTAAAAAATTATTTGAGGGGGTCATGAAATCACTTTATTTGAGTTATAAAATTTTTTACTCCTAGATTTGCAACTTGGCTAACAGACAAGGGCATTTTAGTCAGATTATGATTTTTAAACTACAAAAAAGGATTATGATCCTAAAATTCAATTTCATAATTTTGTGGTCCTAATTAGTTATTTTCGATATTCCTTTATTTATGATTTCCCCTTAAGTGAATGTAAGTGAAATGATTTTAGATAGGCTTGAATTGAAATATAACGGATTCTAAATAATATCTTTTGCGGAGGAAATTGTTGTGTAATAAAACTCCATAGCAAAGTTAGATTCTCCATTTGCCACTCAATATATTTTACCCAAGTTTCTTATGACTTTGTTCCGTGAAGCTTCTGTGAATTTCATAATTAGCCCCTAAACTCAGTAAAGTTTGAAAATAATTTATATGATCAATCTTAATCATACCCCATAAAGCCATCGTGATATGTTAATCCTTTAATACTAATAGAGGAGAATCTTAAATCTCCGTGTTGTTTGCAAAGTGTTTTTAATTAATTAATTCTTTCCTCATTGATGAACCGTTATTCAAGTTGTTCATTCATTTGATGAATATAAAGACAATAACTTTTCATTTATAAATACATGTACGTAATCCATATTTTATTAAAGACAAGCATCATGATGAACCAAACGCAACTTTTTTTTTTTTTTTTTGGGTCGAGAACCAAACGTAACTTTTGAACTTAAACTTCTGCGTCCTTTCCCTGGAATTAGAAAATCATCACTCTTCATTCAGCGAATTGAATCAAGTCGATCACAGATATAATTAATAAACTACAATACTACTCTTCCAAGAAGCTGATGAAAGTGCCAATTTGTGATTCAATTAATTTCTTCTAAATTTTTAATAATCACAACGCGATTGCTTTATATTTTATACCTCTGGACCAGATAACTTTTTACACCCCCCAAAAAGAACCATATCTGATATATTGAACCCAACAAAATTTACACACACACACACACATATATAGGATCTTATTGAAACCTCTAACTAAAAATGACACAACGACAAATATCACAAAATTAGGGGGGAAATATTATTCAATCACTACCAAATTAAAACTCAATATGTAACGCATTAAAAATGGATAACTATCAATTAATTTTTTTCATTTTTGTTTGAATCACTGGATTCTACTTAAAATAAAAGACATCTGGATATCTTGAAGTTTTAAAATGATAAAAACTTGTATTTTTTATGATTTTTAAAAAATAAAAGGGTATAATTTTAATATTCTTTAAAAAATTGTAAAAAATAAAATCTTCACCATTTTGGCACTTCAAGATATCCAAATATCTCTTATTTTAAGTAGAATCCAATGATCTAAAAAATAAAAAATAAAATTGGGAACTTGTGATATTACAATGAGCATTAGAGAATGGGCACATTAGAGGCTCCCAACCCATATAATGAATGAAGGATTTAAACAAATAAATGAATGTTCTAAAAATAAACGAAATTTGGGTTAGAGTTATGCCAAATCCAGTTATCCAGGTGCAGACTGCTCAGCAACTCGTTTATCTATATAAAGATTGGATTACAAGAATCTTATCTAAGATGTACAATAGATGCACCTCAAGAGAGAGGGAAAAAAAGAAGAAAGAGGAGTGGTATGAGAAGATATTTACTCTGGGGTGGTTTTCTGATCTCCAGCCAACTATCTTTTATTTTTATGGCTAAAGTATACTTTTAATCTTCTAATTTTATATAAAGTTTTAATTTAATGTCTTAATTTTATAAAGTATTTTTAATCCTTTAATGCTAATACTGTTAGTTTCAAATGATTATTTTGTGTGTCAATCATTATTATTTTGAAAAAATTAAACTTAATAAATCAATATTTGATAATTTTTTGTCCATATTTAAAAGTTTAATGTAAAAATTTGTTGGGAGAAAACTAATGGTATTAGAGTTATATGACTAAAAAGATAATTTATAAAATTAAGGGACTAAAATGAAACCTTGTATAAAATTAAAATATTAAATATATATTTTAGCCTATTTTTATTTATAATGTAGGAGGCTGAACAGGAAATCCAGTCATCATAAATCCTTCTCATAATAATGGAGAGAATAATTACAATAAAATGTTCAAAATTAATGCAGAGATAAAACTTCCCAAAATAGATTCAATCGGGAATTACTTTTTAATTCTGGTCAAACTTCATTAAACCAGAATATACCAAATTATTACTCATTAATTCGATAATAACTACCCGATTCCAACTGTACGCGTCATCACTTGCATTCTACATACTTTTACAAAATTGCTGGGAAGATTTCTTTATTTGCGTTTTAAGAAAGTTCATATATGGATATACATATATCGTACGTAATTTTCCATACATTTAGGAATATAGATATACATATAACGTAATTCTAAGAAAGTTCTTTATTTGCGTTTTAGTTGAAGGAGAAAAATGTAATTTTCCATACATTTATGGATATAGATATACATATAACGTACGTACTTGTTGAGATGGAGAGAAGTAAATCAAGGAGAGAGATGAAGATGATGAAGGTATTTGCTCTTCATGCTTGTGTGAGTCTGTTTGCTTTGCTCTGTGTTTCAAGCAAAGCGAATCAGCAGGCAGAAAGGCTTCAACAATTTATTGTATCAAAGAGATCGTCAAAGAATAATAAAGTTGATCATCTGATAAATTCTTGGTGGGACGATGAAGATTTGTCCAAACAAAAGTACTATGTTTCAGAACAAGAGGGATTAAGGAAGGCTGATAAGATCAGGTCATTGCCTGGACAGCCTTATGGGGTCAATTTTGATCAATATTCTGGTTATGTCACTGTTGATCCAAAAGCTGGAAGAGCCCTTTTCTATTATTTTGTGGAGTCTCCATATAAGCCTTCCACTAAACCACTTGTTTTGTGGCTCAATGGAGGTATTTAGAATTGTTAAATTCTCTCTTCAACTATACTATAAATCTCTTTATGTGATCTCATTTTATTTGTTCCACTATTGTTTCATAACTCTGAAACTGTTTAGATAGAGGAGACAACAAAAATTTAGTCATTTTTCAATTCTACCGTGAAGTGGCTCAACCTACAAGAAAAATATCAAGTAATTTTCTGATAATATTGAAATAAGTTGAAACAGGTTGACGCACATACTTGTACAACACTAGTCAAATCATACCCAGCTAAATAAATTGTGACTCTTTGTTGAAAGAATTCACACATTAAACAATCAAAGCAAAACAGTTGGTATTTGAATCACAGTATTAAAAACTGGGTTAACCCAACTAGTTAAACTATTGAATTAGTGTCTTGACAGGTTCAATGAAATATTTTATTCATTGATAAGTTAATTATCTGATAAAGTTTTGGTGGGACGATGAAGATTTGTCCAAACACAAGTCCTATGTTTCAGAACAAGAGGGATTAAGGAAGGCTGATAAGATTAGGTCATTGCCTGGACAGCCTTATTATGGGGCGAATTTCGATCAATACTCAGGTCATGTCACTGTTGATCCTAAAGCTGGAATCTAGAGCTCTTTTCTATTATTTTGTGGAGTCTCCATATAACCCTACACTAAACCACGTGCTTTGTGGCTCGTGGAGGTAATCACAATTATTTCTTAAACTAACTAAATTAATCTTGAGATGTGATCTGATTTCAAATATTTTGTCTACCATTCATTTGATAATTGTTTCATTATTTTGTTATAACTCTGCAGCTATTGTCTAAATAGATAACAACACATTTAGTTCCAGAAAAGAAAAATCTTTCAGTGTTATTAAATTATTAGGCTCAATAATTCATTAATCAATCATAAAAATGCATTTTTCTTATGCCATTTTACACAGGATACCACCAAGTTTCATGCTTTTTGAAATGATTGAAATTCACAGGACCAGGTTGTTCCTCATTGGGCTATGGTGCGATGCAGGAATTGGGACCTTTCAGAGTCAATTCTAACGGAAAAACATTGTTTGTTAATGAATATGCGTGGAACAAAGGTGAGATTTGTATATATATATATGTATGTATGTATGTATGTATGTATGTGTATGTAACACATATACCCCAACATTACAGTTTTGTTATTGCATGCTTGGGAGTAATTAAGTTAATACTTTGAAAAAATATAACTTTTAGTCCTTATACTCAGCTTTTAACTTGTCTTGGTTTTAGTCCCTAATGCTTTTGATCATTTTTATGATTTGACTCCTTCATTATCTTCAAATTAATTACATGTATATATTTTCATGTAGTGGCAAATGTGTTGTTCTTGGAGTCACCAGCCGGAGTAGGGTTTTCCTACTCAAACACTTCATCTGATTATGATGTAGCAGGCGATAAGTTTACAACAAGAGATGCATATGTGTTCCTCGTCAACTGGCTTGAGAGGTTTCCACAGTACAAATCAAGAGATTTCTTCATCACAGGAGAGAGCTATGCTGGTCACTACGTGCCTCAGCTTGCTCACACCATTTTGGTCCACAATAAACACGATCCCAAAACCATTATTAACCTCAAAGGCATTGCTGTAAGTTAGTTAACTCATTCGTTTAACTACAACTAAAAAATAACCTTTTCTCTTGTTTCACGCAAATATTCTTGAGAATATCTTAACTAATATTGGAAAATTTCAGATAGGGAATCCTTGGAGCTGGGTTGATGATGAAACGAGTGAAAAGGGAGTGTATGATTACTTTTGGACGCATGCTGTGATGTCAGACGAAACCCATGAAGCTATTGGTAAGTACTGTGATTTTGCTTCTGAAAGTGTTTCAGACGAGTGTGAGAGCTCCACGAACAAAGCATACCAGGAGCTAGGGAACATAAATCAGTATAACATTTATTCACCCATCTGTCACGACACTTCAATCAGAAATAATGCTTCACCTGGTTCTGTAAGTCTTCTTCATTAATTCATCTGCCTGTGTGTGTAGCTATGATTTGTTTAATAATCTCGCATGATTATATTATTTCAGGTATATAATTATGATCCATGCTCTGAGACTTACGTGCAAGTCTACATGAATAACCCAGAGGTCCAGCGAGCTCTCCATGCACTTCCCACCAATTGGACTCATTGCAGGTCTGTTATATATATTAATAATACTGAATGAATATTAACGCCTCTATCTGTGTGTGAGTATAAAACACTAGCTGTTTCATGAACATATGTTCAGAAAATCAACAAGCATGCACGTACTAATTGTAGCAATTGATGAACTTGCAGAAATTATTATAACTGGACAGACAGCCCAAGTAACAGCCTGCCCACAATCAAGTATCTCATTGCGAGTGGCATTAGATTCTGGATTTACAGGCAAGTCTATGTTTTTTTCATTAAGCAAAGTGAACAAGTGAGAAAAATATATATAGAACAGCAATGTAATAAGGACAACATAATATGAGGCATATGCATGCATGAATGTAACAAAAAGTTGAGATTTGAATCTAGTGATTCGGCTGAATGCACACACTCAGTAAGTGTCTCAATTATAACTATTGGATTTTACCAATATTTGAAAGTTATCAAGATATATTTTCCTTTCAAAAATTCTAAACAACCACATTGTGATCAAAACACTTCTTGCATATATGACAACATAAGTTAAAGCCAAAACCAACAGTTCACACTGATGAATTCTCTTCTCTTGTTGTCTACTTGCTTAGTTTGTTTGCACCTATTATTAGAAAGAGTTATATGTTACGTATGTTGTGTGTGTGTGTGTCATGATGATATGTTGCGTTGAAGTGTACAGTGGGGACACAGATGGAAATGTGCCAGTGACGTCGTCTAGGTACTCCATCAACCGCCTCAACCTTACCATCCAGGTTTCATGGCGTCCATGGTATTCCGGAAATGAGGTACGCGCGCGCGCGCGCACATTCTTGTCTTGTTAATGATCATAAATTAATTAATCAATATGAAACATGCATGTATATATGAATGACGGTTAATTAGAGAAATTAAATACATATATACTACAGGTAGGAGGATATGTGGAGCATTACGAGGGAGTGAGCTTTGTGACTGTGAGAGGGTCAGGGCATGAAGTTCCGAGTTGGCAACCTGCAAGGGCTCTCACTCTCTTCACTTCTTTCCTCAACCACACCCTCCCTCTTCCTTCTCCGCCCTCATAAGCATGGCCGTCCGGCTCCAACTTCTCAACCCGAGAACCGACCCGCCTGATTATTCGGATAGTGTTCTACCTGTTTTCTAGAACAAAACATTGTGCATGCCTGTATCTTCTATGCCTCAGAACTCACTCTATATATTAATGTTCATTGCCATACAGGCAGCAAATGTCACCGAGATATGAATTATTACTGATTCATTATATATATATATGTGTGTGTTCTATATATAACTAAGTAAAATACAAAAATATTTCCTTGTCAATACTTTTGTAGAAAAATTATTAGATCTCATGTATATGATCATTTTGTTAGAGCCTCTAACTGGTACTTAACTATGCAGTGAAATTATATTTTATACCGAAATTAGTTAGGTGGGGAAAGGATCGAAATGTTGAATTTTTTTTTTCAAAAAAAAAAAAATCTTTCTAATCATTCCATTCCAAGCATGAAAAACTAGGGAAATAGCAACCACTTACTTCTATTGTTAAAAAATATAAGACATTTTTAATTTAATCTCACTCTCTGATAAAATAGTTTCTTACTTTCAAACTAATTATATCTTTTCATATTTACTTCTATTAAATACCTTACAATAAATATAAAGTCATTATTAATAGGAGCACTTTTTAAAAAAATACAATGATTACACCTCCAAAGATTAAAAATATTTTATATTTTTCAATATTCAACTCCTTAAAAAATGCATTACATTTTTTAACTTAAGGAATAACTCTGATAAAAAGCAACAATATTTTATTTTTATGAGATAAAACTAATTGGAATATTAACACATTGTTTAAAAATAGTGGTATAGAACTAATTAACTCTAGATTTTGGAACATAATGGAAATATCAAATCAATATAATCAATATTTGATATAAAATTATCATATATTTTCTCAGGCACAATTATGAATGTTTTAAAATCTTTAAAAATACAATACTGCACTGTTTTTCAAAATAGATTGACTATTATCTTTAGCTATTTGACTGTATCCTTCAACCTTGACATGCCACATCACTTGCCTATAAGATGCATCCTAAATCCTAAATTAGGAATATAATTAATGACTAATGCTTGTCTTTTGTGGGGATTAAATTCATGGAATCCCATGAGAATTTTATGGATGCGGAATGAGCCTGATTATATACAGTGCCTCTACTTGTCCTATTATACCTTTTTTTTTTTTGTGGGCCAAAACCAAAACCTAGTATGCCATTTTTGTTTAATTCATTTACAGCTCTATATCCAAAAATCCCCAAGGTTCTTCTGCTTTGTTTGCGGTTGTGGATCCTTCGTTCTTTCTTCCATGGAAGACTATGACGATCGACGACCACCATTGCCAGAAGGAGATGACATTGCAAGCCCTAGACACCATAATGCAGCTTTACTTTGAGAAGACTCGGAAGAAGAAGCGCACCATAATCCAGAAGAAGGAGCTTCACAAGCTCTTCCAGATGATTCTCCCCATCTTCCTCAGCCTCATCTTCCTAGCCCCCCAATTCCTCTCTCCTCCAGTGCCGCCATTGTTGGATCCCTATCTTCCTCGTCTTACGAGACAAGTGATGTGACACGAAGGTTGAAAGAGAACGGTCAACGTAAGTCTTCCTAACAACCGTGGACAAAATTGTTTCATTTTGAAAAATATGGAGGTGACCTTTAAATATTTTAGAATATTAATTGTATTTCTGAGAAAATATAGGGGTCAAATTCATATTTTAACCTTTTATTTTTCTTGCAAGTTGTGAGGTGGACTTCAGCTTGAATGTTAATTATAGGGAGATCTAAAATTTTATTGCATTTCAGAATTCAAAAGGGTTATATTCAAGCGTTTTGAAGGTAATGCACCAGCTTTCTACATTTGTGTTTACGTTTATGGGAGAAAGACACGCACAAGAATCATGGAAGTAAATTAATCATTCTAAAGGATTAAGAATTTTTTAAATGACATAGAAGGGCAGGTTTTGAAAAATTAGATGGACAAAGATAATCTTATGCAATTAACAGTTCAAATGCAAATCGCAACAAAATGAGTTGTGAGCTTTTTTAAAAAAAAAATCAGCTACAAATGAGTTGTAACTTGTCCAAAAATTGTAAATAATAATTAAAAAAAGGATAGAAAAGCAAATTGACTCTTAAATTATAAATTTAGGAATATTTGAGACTCTAGGATCTTAAATTCATTTTTAATGCAATGTTTTTCTTCAAATTATAAAAAAGGCACAATCTAGCTTTTATCATTAACACAATTTAATTTTAATCATTAGTTAATTAAAAAATAATAAAAAAGACCTCAAAAATTAAAGAAATGACTGATAAATCTTTCTTGATCTTTCTCTATAATTTTAAAAATATTTTTCATTCATTTTTAGTCAATTAATGTTCTAAGTTAACTTTTATTAACGGTAAGGATCATATATACTATTTTTAAAAGTTAAAGATGAAAAATGTATTAAAAATGAGTTTAAGATCCCATATATTTTTGCGCCTATAGTTTAGGCTTTAATTTTCTTTTTTACCCTAAAAAATATTTATAAATCATTTGTAAATTTTAAATCTAATATAACCAATTAAAAAATTTAGCCAATTGATAATCTTCTGACTTGTAGAATTTAATATTTTTTTTAATAAAAACTTTCGGAGTTTGTAAAACTCATACTAATTTGCAATTTTTTTTCAACATTTGTAACTGAATTTTCAAAATTTACAATTCCACAATTTATGATTCATTTGCAATTGGTCTTCTAAATTTTACAACTAAATTTATGTTATTTGCATCTCATTTTCTAAGGTTTGTAATTGAGTTGTGCGTCAATTGTGTCAGGACATTTTTATCTATTTACTTCTTCATTTTAATGTTAGTCTATTTTTGAAAATGTTAAACAAAAAAAAAACATGGTAAAACTTCTTGGTCCTTTAAAATGATTAAATTCCTTTTATGGTTTTTCTATGTCACTCTCCTTAATTTAAAGTGGCTCGTCTCTTTCAGGGGGGGAAAAAAGGGAGCAATGTTAATCTAAACCCCTTAACCAAGTATAATAATAATAAAAAAAAGAGCTCTTAAAGTTTGAAATTTCACTATAGACCAATGGCGGTAAAATAAAGTATTAAGGCTCAATTTTACCTATACACTTATTCTTTAGGAGCATTGGATGCCTTATACTTTTAAGTGAGGTAATTTTCTCCATGAAGTATTTTTTCAAGGTCCAAAAACAGTCTTCGATTAGGAGGACATAAACTTTGCCGTTTTTTACTAATGTGGCATATGTGTAAGGCACAATATAATAGGTAAAATTTTGATTATGTCTTTTAGTGCTAATTGCCTGGGCATCTTAAAGCCTTTTTCTAAGAGTATTAGGTGTTTTGAAATTTTATTAAAATAAAACTTAATAAATATTGTCTAAATGTTAAATATTTTCATATTTAATAATTTAAAAATTATTATTTATAAAAATTTGATCAAAAATTATTATTTATTTTCACATTTAAAAATTATTATTATTTATAATATTAACAATTCAAACTAGTATTTTATAAATTTATGAATAATTTCTTTTTTTTATATATCGATATTCGATCTTTTACAGTACTCAAATCATTACACATTGTCTTTGTTTAAGTTCCTAAAATTTTTATGTCATTTTCTATAATTTTTTTGATCAACTAATGATCTTTTTTAAAAATATTGCACTATTCAAATTTATTACTTTCTGTGCGTTATAGTATTATGAGTAAAATTAGAAACATAACAAATCAAGATCAATAATATGCTAACAAAAGTGCTTATTTGAAAGATATTACTTATTCCATTAATATGTTATAAAAAAGTTACTTAGCAAGAGAACAATGGAGAGATGAAAAGAAAAAATTCCTTTATTAATTTGGAAGTTCATTCTCTTTATTTTTAATACAAAACTAAAAATTATTAAAAATATTAAAATATTAAATTGGGTGGTCTAATGTTTTAAATAATAATATTAAAATTATTAAATATTAAAATACTTAATATTTTGACAATATATATTAAATTTTATTTTAGCAAAAATTTAGGGACAAATTAACATCAAAAGACATTATCATAATCTTGTATGTCACTATGTGTGAGCTTCATGCACATGCCACATCAGCAAAAAATGAAAAAATTAATATTGACTAATAGAAGGGATTTTTTGCTTCTTATGAAAAATAATTCAGGAATAAAATTGCACTACTTAAGAATATAAGGTGCCTATTGCTCCTAAAAAATAAGTATAAAGATAAAGTTGGATCTTAACCCTAAAATAAAATTAAAATGCAAACTAAAATTACCTTATTGTCTCTAGTGCAAAACTAACCATGTGCACAAACATTTCCGATAAAAAAATTAACCACTTCAATGTAGAAAATGAACAACTTTAATATGAAAAATTTGCAAATGTCTTGTATCAAGCTTAAGCTATTAGGGATAATGAGGTAATTTCAGTATGCATTTTAATTTTATTTCATTACCCTTAGTCTACAATGAAATTTTAGGCTTTAAGAAACTCTGTCAAGAGGTCTAGACTAGAATTTTCTCCAACAAAAAGTAGCCTCCTCTTTCTTGTTGAAATATGCAAGGGATTTTTTGGCAATAAATTTTAACTAAAGTTAGAAATGAGGGTCAAACTTGACAAGCTACCTATTTAAATTTGTTTTTATAAGAATTCAGACTTGAAAAATAGTTTTTTTAAAAAAAAATTGACCTTTGAAACCCAGCTATCATAAATCTTAAAAAAAGAGGCTCAGAATTGAGTAGCCTGTTTAGGCCCTTTTATATTTTACCCCTAAAAAATAAAATATTTTAAATTTTTAAATTAAGTTTAAACTTTAGATTATATATTTATACTTTAAAAATAGAATTTTTATTATTTATTTTAATTTTTGAACATTATAATTTGTATTTTAAAAAATATAAAATATTATAATTGAAAATCGTAATTTAGTCAATAAGATATTAAAGTTGAGAAAAACTTATTCATGAAAGTTGTTATAATAGTGGGCAAAAGCTTATTTTTACATTGCTCTAATTAATTAAATTTTCATATAGTTGTAATCTTTTTGTTTTTAATAATATTTTGACTTTATATAAAAAATATATGAAAAATGACGAAATTAAACAACATTGCAATGCATGTAAGTGAAAGATTCTAGGTTTGAAAATGACCTCAATATTTTCTTGCAGAAAATGAATAATTGAGTGAATTGTGCATGGGATATTCTTTCTAAACCATAATGGACTTGACCCCAAAGAAAATTTATTGGAAAGTTCATCTTTTTGGCTGAATTATGCATAGGATCTTCTTTTAAAAACAAATAAGATACCGCGGAAATATCTAAAAATTTAATTTGAAAAAAAAATGAAATTAAAAAAGAGATATTGCAATTAAAAATATTTAGTTAAAAAAGAAAAGGAATTTGACAAAAAATACATTGGTTCTAGTTTTTGAATTTTAAATAGTGCGGCTCACACAAATCCTATTATAATTAGAGCTAATCATGGATGTCGTAATTTAGTGTGTGCGTGTGAAGAAGCATCACATTTCCTAAAATTGAGAAAGCTTTAGTATATAAATGCTCACATGAGAATTTGGGTAAGTGAGATAAATCAAGAATAGAAGTAAATGTACACATACATTGTACGTGAGTAAGATGTGATACTGAGCTCTTTTGCCAAAAATATTTTGCAGATTTTAAAAATATTTTAAATGAACCAATTCAATGTTTAAATCCTTAGAATTTTTTAATGCAATATGGAAATTAGTGATTTATCTTCTAGAAATTTGTTGTCAGTAATGATTGACTTGTTCAATAATCAAAATTTCAAAATCTACAATGTCTAATGATGAGTTTTTTAATTTAGATTCAATACTCAAATCCTTAGAAACTATAAAAGGTTTTAATAGTGTTATGGTGCCTAACATTCATGTACAACTACACCTACATAAGGCATGTTTGTAGAGTGTTCAAAATACACTATTTTCCAGCATTCCTTTTCCATCTTTTGAGTTCTTTTGTTTCCGTGGAGTTGCTGTTGTCAACTTGTAATGGTGAAATATTTTTTAAAGATAATGTATTCAGGCACAGCTTGAATCAAATTAGTTACAAGAATTTTTAATAGTAGAAGTACATCAAATCTTAACTCAACATCTCAAAGACAAAATTTATAAGTATTTATCATTTAGTATATATTACTTAATAGTTATCAAAGTTAATTTTATCTAATGGCCCAAGTTCACTTATACTAGAATAGCGTAACAATTTTTATAAATTAAAATTTTTCATAAAAAAAGAAAACAAAACACTTGGGTAAATTATTGTGCACATTGTAAATTAATCTAACCATCTGGTTTCGTCAAAAGCAAGTTGTTTGTGTTCAAATCAAGAAATTCACCAAAACAAATAACCTTGTTCCAATTAATCAATTGTCCAATCACAGCATGTTGCATTCTTATCTGTCATCTACTAAACTTTTAATGCTCAATAACACTAGTACTAATCATAAATAGAGATTAGAGGGACCTTAATCAGTTACTATAAGAATAAAGACTCGGTCCTAAACAATATTTAATTATGTTGGAATTTACAAAGATCTGATGATTTATATATATATATATATACACATACTTCCATTCTGACATGAACCACATGCAAAATAATCAGCCGGCTGGTCATGAATCATCATTGGTATTGTAAGGTGTCAATTTGTTTTTTCAATGCCCTCCAAACATAAAAAACCAAAAGAAAAAAATCATTGGTATTGTAAGGTGTCAATTGTTTTTTTCAGAGCCCTCCAACTACATAAAACCAAAGTAAAAAAAAAAGCTTGCTAACATTCTAGTACAACAAGGACGACAACAACAATAATAATACAAGTCTTATTTTACTAAATAGATCGACTACATAGATCATATTATGTTAGTGAGCTCTATCAATAACAAACATTAATTCAGTATTACATTTAAAAGAAATTAGTTTTTACTTTTTAGGAACAAAATTAACACATTAATTTTAAAATGTTACAAACTCCTATTATAATTGGACAATATATATTGAAAACATCAATATTTGAATTAACTACACAAGCATGTGATCATAAAAAATTGTTTCTATCTGTGTTATTTTACAATTTGAAGATAATATTAACCACTACTTTCCAATACATTCATATATTAACAGGGGCATATCTGACAACTAAGTGAGATTATTAACATATTAATTACTTTCCTTAATCTCCCTGCAAAAATCTTAGACGTCATATAAAAAGAAACGGACCAGTGTTAAAAGAATTCAAAGAATATAATTCATGAATTGTTTGTTGACTTTTAAACATCAAGTAGTTGATCTTAAAATGCAATTTCCCGCCTTATATAAACCAGTTGGGGCAACAAGAAGAAGAAGCAAAGCAAGATGAAGAAAGAAAACACAGCAAGATGAAGATCGGAGTTGTTATTTATGCTTGTGTGACCCTGTTTGCTTTGCTTTCTGCTACAAGCAAAGCCAATCAGGAAGATCAACTGGAAGAGCTGATTCTATCCAAGAGATTAAAGAACAAGCTTCTGACAAGTTCTTGGGAAGAGAAAGATGTGTCCAAACAGCAATATTATGTGTCATCCCAAGAAGGGCTAATGCAGAGTGATAAGATTAGTGCATTTCCTGGACAGCCTTATGGAGTCAATTTTAATCAATACTCTGGTTATGTTACAGTTGATCCAAATGCTGGAAGAGCCCTTTTCTATTACTTTGTAGAGTCTCCATATAATCCTTCTACCAAACCACTAGTGTTGTGGCTCAATGGAGGTAATAAGAATTCCTTCAAAATTAATTTGCCTTAAGTTGTTATCAATGCCTATTGGCTTTATCTATTTACCATCATCACTTAACACATTTTCCTGGGCATTGTGTGAAAATTTTCCTCTAGCACAGCTTTCTCCTATAGTTATCTCTCCTCCCTATTTTCTTCACATTCCAAACAATGCCTTAAATAAGTCGCAATACTATTCGTGGCTTGGAAATTTTGCAGCTTGCTAAATTTTGCTATATATTGAAGGCTATTTTAACATTTTGGTTCTGATTTGAACTTGAATACATCTCTCAAAAATGCTTTCGGTATCACTAAACTAAAGCTCATTATTTTTCAGACATGTAGCATACTTTGTGTAATACAGTCTTACTTGCCTTTGTGCTCATTGGATGGTTGCAATTCACAGGGCCAGGATGTTCTTCATTTGGCTATGGGGCGTTTCAGGAATTGGGACCCTTCAGAGTCAACTCTAATGGAAAAAGTCTATTTCTTAACGAGTATGCTTGGAACAATGGTGAGATATGAGTTAATTATTTGTTTTAGAGTAATTAAGTTGATGCTTTTGATCATTTTAAAGACTCAAATACTTCATTATCTTCAAATTAATTACATGTATGCATATTCTGGTGTTGATGAATTCATGCAGTGGCAAATGTGTTGTTCTTGGAATCACCAGCTGGAGTGGGCTTTTCCTACTCAAACACTTCGTCTGATTATGATCAAGCAGGAGATAAGTTTACAGCAAGAGATGCCTATGTGTTCCTCATCAATTGGCTTGAGAGATTTCCACAATACAAATCCAGAGATTTCTTCATCACTGGAGAGAGCTACGCTGGTCATTATGTGCCTCAACTTGCTTACAACATTTTGGTCCAAAATATTTTCTCTGGACAAACCATTATCAACCTCAAAGGCATTGCTGTACGTCCATCCTTTAACAACAATGCCCTTTAATTTGCTTGCTGCAACACACTTAATTACTATCAAATTTCATACAATTTGACAAATTTGTGATGAAATCTCAGATAGGGAATGCTTGGATCGATGATGAAACAAGTTCAGAGGGAATATTCGATTACTTATGGACACATGCTCTAATCTCAGATGAAACCCATTCAAGTATTGATAAGTACTGTGACTTTGCCACTGATAATGTTTCAGACGTGTGTGTCAGTGCAACGAGAAAGGCCCTTCAGGAGAAAGGGAAGATAGATTGGTACAACATTTACGCTCCACTCTGCCGTGACACTTCACTCAGAAATGGTCCGCCTGGTTCTGTAAGTCTTCTTGCAGTCATTTTGTTAGCAATATCTTCTCAATCTGATGAGACTGTCTTTTCAATTAATGTATTGATAATTTCAGGTGTACAATTATGATCCATGCTCTGATTACTACGTGGAAGCCTATATGAATAACCCAGACGTCCAGCTAGCTCTCCATGCTCTTCCCACAAACTGGACTCATTGCAAGTATAATAATATAATATGATTATTTTTTATTAAAAAAAATTATGTTTCACGAGTTAAATGAACAAGCATGCATGCATGTATTAATTTGATATGCGCCAATTTGCAGAGATTATAACTGGACAGACAGCCCAAGTACGATCCTTCCCACCATCAAGGATCTCATCAGATTTGGCATTAAAGTGTGGATTTACAGGCAAGTCCCATTTTCATTACAATAAGTATTATGCAATGCTACATCAGTTCAAGTCCCAATAATCAAGAGAAATTACTGAAGATCCAACCTCACAAAATTGTGCTTTGCACGTTTGGGGAAAAAAGCTATCAGAAATCCTACACACAGAAATACACTGATGATTGTAATTATCTGTGCAGCGGGGACACAGATGGACGGGTACCAGTCACATCGTCTAAGTACTCAATCAACCGTCTCAACTTTCCTGTTGAGGTTCCATGGCGACCATGGTACTCAGGAAATGAGGTATTGAGATGAACCTTTTTTTCATATCATCTTAACCCTTTTGTCTAGTCCCTTAGCACCACTAAAATGAATTTTGAGAATGCTTTGAAACTTGTTTCTAACAGGTGCATGAACCTTCTGTTTACTTGTGATTTGGTCTTGCTATTTTTTTGATGCATTGATCTTGGTTAACAATCTTGGTTTACAGGTAGGAGGATATGTGGAGCAATACAAAGGATTAACGATTGTGACAGTGAGAGGAGCTGGCCACACTGTTCCCAGTTGGCAACCAGCAAGGGCCCTCATCCTCATTACTTCATTCCTCAAGCGCTCTGCGCCTCCGGCTTCACCATGGCCATAGCCAGAACTCTAGCTCCGTCTGCTTAACGCAACTTATCTACATGTCTTTTCTAGTTCTTATTTTCCTCAATAAAAGACTACAAACTAAAGTATCTTGACCCAGAATCATGCTCAAATGCTCATTGCCATATGGTCATAGTGCAGCAGCGCCATTTATATTTTGATGGTATCTGATTCCTCAATTGTTAAGCTTATTTCGTTCGCTGTCATAAAAATGTGTCAGAAACCTGGCATATGATCCCTTATGCAAGTTTCTTTTGTGATGTAAAAAATGAAAACACTTTATTTTCCCCTCAGACCCATCAAGTTGAAAATTTAACCAGATCTAATAATTTATAGAATTAATATATCATAAAGAGAATAAACACTCAAGCATAACTAGATTTGAGCCATCTCAGGTGCTAACTGTCATGACAAGGCAAAAGCCAAGTCAACATTGAAAACAACCAAACATTAACTAGAGGATCAAAGCACTTTTCAGTGAGTACTTTTCCTTTTCTCGAGAGAATGGGCAGCCATGTTGGCGTTCTAGAATATGAAAATTCAAGAGCTAATAATAACTACGACCTCCAGGGAAAAAAAATCTGAACTCAAGAGGACCTACCTATTTTACGATTAACAAATGCATTTTTAAAGAACTTTAAAGTGACTATATTAGTTTCTGTCATACTACTTGTGGGTAACCTGATTTACCTGGTATTATTAGCACATATATTCTGACTTACAAAAGGTGATTCTAGCAGAGCGCCAAATTTTGTGTTGCTGATAAGGTTATGTAACACCTAGTTTAGAAACAAAACATATTACAATAGCTTCGATGTAAAAAGTAACAGACTGAGAAACATGACATCTTTAACATCTTTCACGGATCCTATAAAAATTCTTGTGTGGTAATTTCCAAATTAGAAATTGTTTACAGTAGAAATTTACTGCAGCCATATTAGCCACTTGCTTCACAGTCCTCAAGTCAAGTGTATGCAAGGGAAGGCCCAAAAAATAAGAAGAAAAGACAGCCAATGCTGCAGCAGCGACATAAGAAAGCTTGATTATTTCGACACGTTACAAAAGAGATTTAAACCCCATTCATCTCCAACCCCATGAGGGAACAAGAATACAAGGAAACGAGGAAAGGGAGGGAAGATAAAGAGACAGTACAGATTTTATTTTATTTACAGCAGGAACAGGATGATCCAGAGCCTCCTTCAGTGGCCAAGTTATAACTTCGTTCCCAAGTATCTTTAGGAGCAGCATCAGCATGTGGAAGGTGACGAGGATGTTTCTCTCTCTTGTCTCCCCTAATCTGCTTTAAAGCATGCTTAAGTGCTGGCAATAAAGCTTCCATACACTCAGCAACAGCATTTGGATTGCCAGGCATGTTAATGATCTGCATTACAAATCAAGGACCATAATTTAGCATGTAAATACCAACTTCTTAAGACTGGACAATTATGTCTGAATCAGAAAAGCTGATATCTCAACTTCAATGCTATACCGATTGCTTAAGTAGATACAACATAAAAGTAATGAGGAAGAACTTAAGAGAATAGAACATGTATATACAAGGAATAAATAGCTGGAGATTGTAACAGCATGTTAATATGAACAATGATGATTGTGCAAGGGCAAGAGGGGCAAGATGTTTAATTGACATTTACATTATTCAATATGAAATCGCCATGAAATACTTCATCATCCGGTGAAAAAACATTGCAAAGATGATACATAAATAACAACACTTGTGAAGCACTAAAGCGAAACAATCAAAATGAGAAAGGAAATATGTTCATAACAGCACGGGCTTCAAGATTCTTTTCTTCCATACACTGTTATCCTTTGCAAACAAGCACAATATAATTTTATTGCTTTTCTTACCAATGTCGAGCCTCTGATTCCAGCCGCAGAGCGTGATAGCATTGCAAATGGGGTCACCTATTTACAAATAAAGCGACCAACGAAAAAAGATGCTTAACACTTAACAGTTATGTTTCATCAGCAACAACTCAAGTGACATAAACCAAAAAGGGAATAGAAAAATAACTGGATATTGATCCAAAATCTTTGAAAACTGAGAAGCATGCCCAATAATACAAATAGAATCAACAAGCAGAAGCATGTCTTAAACTACTACTCTGAAATTGAACCGACGTGAAAAAGAGAAACAGCAATTCAGAGTGATAACAGACGAAATGCATTCAGGCTCTAATACTATATTATCATTCAGTAACTAGTCTTTCACAGGATTAAGAGCCAGAATTTTAATTATAGATGTCTCTCTCATTTCTGCAGGTCGAATTAACAAGAGGAGGTCTTCTGTTCCCTGGTATTTGAGCTATAAGGCTGGTGGCCAAAGTGAGATGGTTCAATAAATTTGAGGGGGGAAAATAAATCTCAAATTATGAATACAAAAAGAATAATCAACAACTTTTGAAGCAATTTGCATCTTCACTGATGTAGCTTTGATTGATGAAACTAAAACTACTATAACTATACGATTAAAGTTACAGTTCAGTGTAAATGGAACTGAAACTAAGTGCCCCCCACACCTTTCCATTCAATAATAATGATTATTCATCACTTAAGCATGTTAGATGATTGAAACAGATCAGCCCTTCACATATGAAGTTTGCTCATTGTGGGTTGTTTCTGTTCAGAATATACTGGATTAAGGAAGCAAATTTTAAAATTTTACTGATTGGGCTTGTGGGTTTTCTTGAATATTTTCAAGGAAAATTTGAATACAAATACCTCCATCTCAACTATGGTATGTCAAATGGAACGCTATTTCCTCCTTCCATGAAATAGGGACCTAGGAAACCTTGAGTTCTCGGTTGGTTTAAGTAAGATTATAAAGTAACTCTAGTCATGGACATTTCTGCTGGTTGGTTAGCAACAATGTTGGCTGGCATTACACCATTTGCATGCCAAACATAGGCACCCAGGTTACCAAGGAATCTAGCATACCAATGTTAAAATTCCAGCCCACTAAACAACCCTTTAGATGCTCAAATTCTGTAAAATACTTAGGACCCTTCTAGTAACAAGGAAAGAAAAAACAGATCCACACAAGAAACAAAAATAATTAAATTTCTAATCAACATATCCATAGTTGTACCTTTAAACTCTCTTGCATCATTACATGCAAAAGACCAGGTGTTTCTTTCTCAATCAACAGTTTTGTAGCTTCTGGTGTTACATCTCGCATGGTAAAACCGGTACCACCTTGATTGGAAAGAAAATATTAAAAAAGAAAAAGTAGTAGAAGAAGGAAGTCAACTCAACAAAATTAGGTGTTCTGTATTTATCAAAGAAACTGACTCATTGATTAACAATGTAGATCAATACCAAGTGTAATTACGAGATCCATTAGTTCAATATCGCTCCATCTCCTCAGAATGTTCTGGATTTTTGCCACTTCATCTGGGACAACAGCTGTTTCTACCACTCTCGCTCCCCCTAACTTTTCTGAAGAGGAATTAATAACAGAAACTGCCCTGGGACCACTGTATAAATACATAGGAATTAGTAGGCGTTGAAGTTTACAAAAACCAATATGCCTCTATATGTCTTCTCCAGTCACCTTTGAAAATTTAGTGATATCTTGAAAAAGCCAGTAAAGAACTCATGAATATTATCGAATACATTGCATTAAAACTTACACAGACCAGCCCTGAGAAGGAAAAACATCTAACTAATGACAGAAAATAACTGCACAACAGAAAGAAACTGAACTGAATTCCTTGACTTCAGGAATTTTTCCTTTGACACTGTAGCAAAACACTCAGTGCTTCCAACATCCACTTTGACATTGGCTAATATCAAGTTTGCCCTTCACTTTGGCATCAACATCGTGACCTCTTTGAAATAATGATTCAAAGAGGTGTATCCTGATGCTATCAAGCTTCAAACTAGTGTGGGAGGACCACTGGGTTAAACCGTAATAAATCCCTCCTTTATTTTTATATCAACAAAAAAGGAAAAGGAAAAAAAAATCTCCAATTGGCTCACGAAGTGCAATAGATGCACTCAACGTAAATACCTGCATTTCTAATGCACTTCGTTCAATAAAGTACAAAACTGTTCAGACTCTGGACGGTTTTATAAACTTCTGGTGACTAAGGCTGATAGTATGCAACAGCAAAATCAAATTAAAAATAACTTTCCTTATCATCATATAGCGGTTTCAAAAATAAATTCTATTTATGTGTTGTTAGCAGAGTGTTTACTCAAGGCATCTACAAGAATTAAGGCTTCACTTCATCTGACAAGATTAGGGGAAAGAATGCCTTCCATACTCTAAAGGAGTAGTTGAACATTAAGTCAAAGCCGCAAAGACAAAATAAATTGAACTGCTCAGCCTATTTTTCAAAGCATGTTGAAGAAGGCTATGAAAAAGTCTTTGGTCCTGATCTCCTACTATGTGTACCACTGTATACACCCGCATAAAATATAAATAAAACGAACAGTACCTTCTATCAGGTCCAGCCCCCATTGCAACTGTGTCACTTACTGTAAGAATAGCAACTCTAAATTCAGCATCACTTGGCCTATCCACAGTAATTTTATGTGATTTATTTCCAGACAAAGCAAAGGTTGAATTTGATAGCATATTATTCCCGCCAAGAGCCATAGATTTTAGGTCAGAAATTATGATGGCTGATACAAGGGTCCCAGCTGAAATTATACTGCCTGTTGCTGGCAACTCCAACAAGGCATTAGCTGACTTCATACTTAGTAGTCGACTGCTCATCTGATGACCAGTACTCTCAGCAACAAAGCTGAAATTCAAGAGCAGAGAGAGCATTTCAATATTTTATTAATGCATTTATTATACACTGTTATCATATAAAGGAAATTTCATCACATGCATCTTCCTTAAATTGTAGGTACCAACACAAGTGATTGTCCTACCCCATCACAACACCACTCCCACAACATACCCAATGGAAAGATATGATCTGTATGTAGATTGTAGCAGACTGAGGAAAAGAGATTCACTCCTAAGTCCTAACTTACCCAGGATTGCCAGTCCCATCATTGTCAGTCCATGAAACAATAGCTCGATGATATTCTGGTCGAGCTGGGTCTGTCTTTATTGGCTGACAAAGCCGAGCTTGTATACTGTACAAAAATGAAATTGAATAAATCAGAGAGGAAAGAA